GATTATCATCGTACAGATGATAATAACAATTTTTATCATAAATCTTTCTTGCAACCGGGTTAGAAGCTTCATATTTTGATAATATTGTTACTTTGATCAAAGAGATAATTTTTTTCATGTCTGATGAGGCATTTACTTTAATTTTAGCATTATGTTTGTAACCGTTTTACAAAATATTTTAATTGTTATTCTGAGGTAAATTTATTTTTTAAAAAAAGATTCTTTGAATAAACTCGCGGGTTTCAATTCATTTGATTTTATATTTAATTTCTTTTTTTTTCAGTGGTGTTTATGGAGAAGCAACAACTAAGGGCAGACAAGCTTTATGAAGGTTGAGGCATCACATCAAATAAACTTTCGATACTAGGAACTGGAACATAAAATACATTTATTATATTGGCCAAGCTAAAAATTATGATGTACAATTTATAAAGAATTTGTAGAAAAGTTCATATTTACAAGATACAATTTCAAAGAATCAGTATTGACAAAGTTTCAATCTGTAAATTTCATGATAAAAATAAGAAGGAAGGAAAAGTTGAGAAAAATTTAAAGTCAGCAAAGATAACAGATTCAGAAGAGGAATCTTCAAAAGGATCATGAGGCTATTTATAGGAATATTGGATATTTGAGACGTGATATGAATTTTTTGATTGATGATTTATCTAAAAAACTGATATTTAATGATTTACCATTAATAATGGAACAAATGTGAGTTATGACTCAAACTTTTCAGAGTTTATTCCAATAAAAACAACCATTTCACATAGAATTACGTAGCAGTAATGAACCGTTAAAATTATAAATGGTCGTGAAACTAACTTTGAGGGACAAATTGGTGGAAAGATGCTAGTACCTAAAAACTCAGCCAAAAAATGTTACAAATATTAAATTGAATCATAGTGTTGTCATACTACTGAGGATTATTAGTAACATCGATATATCACAAAAATCAGAATAATAACATGTCCTATTATCGCTCAATTACTTTTAACACTTTTAAAGACTTCAATGCAAAATTTACAAAATTAGCTAGGTCCAACAGAAGTAATTATGATATTGATAAAAAAAAATTGAAATTGAAACTACAGATAATCAGAATTTGAATGGTGAAATCAAAATCAACCGTTCATTTAAACGTTTATCTATAATTATTTTACGCCTTGTTTCATTTCAATTTATTAGATTTGAATTGTCCAATTCCAAAATAATTATTAGCATCAGCTATTTGAATATATATTAAATTAAAAGACATAATTAACTTTTGGAAAATTCACGTGACAGCTCAACTTTCACTAACTCGACTATAATAATTAATTATGAATCTGTAATTTAAATGGATATATGTTACCATTGTTAAACATAATTTGCATCCAAGATATGTAATTTCTGTAAAAAATTTGAAAAGGCAAAATATTAACGAGGAGACAATAAAAGTAATATTTATTGTAATAAACTATTATTTTCAAATTAAAAAACAATTTACGCAATGAAGGATTTGAATAATATTGGCTTTTGCATGGCGTTGTGCAAAGATTAACTTTTATCAGTAAGAATTTATCCGTCTTTGTTACCCCTAATATAGTAAATTGAGTAACTAATATGAAAAAAAAAATAAGCTCTCGT